TGTTGATCCAGGGCGGCCTGTACACAGCTCCCATCAAGATCCCCGAGCCAGGCGAGGACGTCAGCGGCGAGTTTCGCATCCTCGATCTGGGATGTGGTACCGGCATTTGGGCTATTGACATGGCCGACGAACACCCCCGCGCCTCCGTCTTTGGTGTCGACCTCTCTCCCATCCAGCCCGACTGGGTGCCAGGCAACTGCCGCTTTCACGTCGACGACTACGAAGACGACTGGACGTACCGCGAGGACGAAAAGTTCGACTACATCCACGGTCGCGCGCTGTCAGGCACCGTCAGTGACTGGGCGCGCTTCTACAGGCAGGCACGCACCCATCTCAAGCCGGGCGCCTATTGCGAGATGCAAGAGTACGACGCCTGGATCTTCAGCGACGATGATAGCTTCGACCGCGCACCTTGGACGAAGGAGTGGGTCCAGAAGCTGGATGAGGCCAGTCTGATGTTTGGCAAGCGCATCAACGTCGCCCGTCACCATAAGCAGTGGATGATTGATGCTGGGTTTGAGGATGTCCAGGAGAGAGTTGTCAGAGTAAGTTTGTCATTTTTTATCCTTTGCTAGTGATTTTTTTTATGCAAGAAAAGTGACTGACTTTACGCAGATCCCCGTCGGCCCTTGGGCGAAGGATCCGGCACTCAAGGAGCTAGGCCGCTTCGAGCAAATTCACATGCAGATGTCTGTGGCGTCACACACTCCCGCTCTCTTTACTCGCGTCCACAACTTCTCCGAGGTGCAGGTACAGTTGTTGATCGAAGGTGTCAAGCGCGAGTTTAGAAGCAAGGACTTGAGGTTGATCACCGTCTACCGATTCATCAGCGGCAGAAGCCCAGGACCCCCTTCATCCGCGGAATAGGGAGATGGTAATTGGTAATGTTTGATGAGCCATATGACGGGTAATGATCACGGGTTTGATGCATTGTAGGGGTGCTTGTTGGTGCGTTTTGGTGTTTTGTTACTTTTGGCATCCAGTCTCTGGATCTTGCAGTTTTGAGTTGGCCTTTGGGTACATGGTCCATTAAAATACAGAAAGTCTTGATCTTCATTCACCATCCCTCAGTTCTAGGTTCCACAGGCAGCCCCAAATACTGGCTGGCTATTGATGGAATTTTAAAATCCTTAAAATTGGTGCCCCAGGGGTGAGCTGGTATGCTATCAACTACAGTGCGGTAGTTCACTTCAATAAAGAGGCGAAACAAAAGATTCGTTATGACCCAAGGCTTTGGACTGTTTGACTGAATTCGACCAACCCCCTGCTTTCTGGTATACAGCAGTATACGCCCCTTGTTATCGTTTCCGTTTCTGTTTGTCGGGCGGGCATCGTTCAATGTGCCACAAGTCTTCTGCGGGCCCGTTCCCGCCGGGGTATCAAGTTTAAAAGTATGTTTAAACTTGCACAAGACAGGGGAACTTGATCGTGGACAAGTAATGACGGTGAGCGAGGCTCCTGATTACAGACATGGAGTATTACAGGCCTCAGTAATAAAACTGCAAGGGCCACAGTTTCACAGAATCATGTTTTCAAGCAAAGGCGACCTTGTCCCTATTCTTGAGTCGAATCATGGAAACCGTACCCTTCCAGCGTCTTGCCGCTTGATATTGACACTCGAAAACTTTGAGTCTGCTTATGATGACATACAATAGATTCATACATAAGCAACGCCTTCCCAGAAGGCTGAAGAGGAGAATACTGCGGAAACTGCTAAGTAGGATGATTCAGTTCGCTCAAATCGGCTGCCAGGCAGGGTTCGGCTTCCAGGGCTATTCCAGTAATAAGTAAGCTCGATCAGGGTGGTCTGGGAGGCGTGACGTTCTATTGCCATATTTGTGGAATCGATCGTAGGGTTAAGGCCGTCCAACGATCCAGTACGGTCAAATCGACCGCCGAGCAAGCTTCCAAAGGTTATTCAAGAAGTAACGAGCTCGAGCGGTTGGTGGTCGTCTTGAGGTATACGCCTTCTCTCTGTCGTGATTCCATTTGAGAATGTTGGAGATTCAACACTTGCAGGCTCTCCTCGGCACACATCTGGGTGAACTTCTCGTCACTCAGCTTTCCCTTGGCTGTATACTTGAGTTTTAGGACGTGATCAATCATGGAACGCAACCCCTCTTGCCCGTCACGAGATGCGATGTCCCACCTCTGCCCATTTCGCGCATTGTAGAGTATAACGCGCGGAAGCCCCAACAAGTAGGCATACGCACATGCCTGTATGACATGCTGGTTTGAAAGCTGTGAGACAAATTTGATCTCCCAAACAGACTCAGCGCTTCCAACGTTGCTGTTACCGTCGGAATCGGACGAAGCCGCCACGATGTCAGCTCGACCAAGGAGTCGGCATTCCTGATCATCAATGGTCAATTTCCCCTCAACCTTAACCTCGAACCTGGGGTTTGCGGCTATTTTGCTGAGCTCTCCCCGGAGTCGACTGCAGGCTATGGCAAGGTCGTCAGGCTCTATCCAATCGAAGTCGTGGTTTGCCATCTGGATTTTGCGCGGGACATAGCCCGAGGAGCCAGCTTCGTAGTCACAGGCCTGTCGACAGAGCCAGGAGACACCCTGCCGTGAGAAGACTTCAGTCTCGACTTTGCCGAGTCCAATCGAATGCATTGTTCCAGCAGTCTCATGCTCAAACGCTGCGTTGACGACAAGGCCATTCAAATCGCTCACGGCTTCGTGAAACTTCTTTTCTCTGTCCGAAACCACGACATTTTGGAGTTTAATGTGCTGATGCTCCGGTAGAGGCGGGAGTGCCTGGATACGGAGGTGAATATGAATAATAGGGTCGAGTTTATCATCTTTTACGTGCCGGGCTATATCTCCGACAACGATCTTCGGTGGCAGGGTAAGACCACACTTTAAGGTTCGGCCCGGAACAGGGGGCGGTTTGATTTTGGACGGCTTTGTTGTCATATTGACAACCGTGGCTGTTTCGTATAGAGCTTTGACTGATGCAAAAGGCATGAGCTCGTTCTTCTCGTCATGGACCAAGACAAGGTGTTCGGCGGCACGCGTCAGAGCCACAAAAACCTCGTTGGGACATCTGTCATCGGGAAGATCTTGGCCAAAATAGTCAAAATACGACGAGTCGAGGCCGAAGAGAATGACCAGATCACGCTCGCTACCTTTGAACTGGTGAATGGTAGAAACGCACAGCTTGCCTTTAATGACCCTGTCATCTAGAGGAACCTCGTCGTTGATTGATACGGCAATAGGCACTCTGTATTGCTCTGACAAGATGTTGACCACTTTCTTCAATGGCCCGCGCTTACGCAGAGCCGGAGCTATTATGGCGGTATTCTTAGCTCCGTAGCGCTTGATCATGGTTGACAGCTGCTTTGCTATGGCACCACTTTCCCAAATGCTGCATCTCAGGATAATAGGCTTAGGCCCGGACTTGGAGCTGGTGATGTATGATTCGCCACCGAGAAAAGTATTGTTGATGAACCGAACTGACTGGTCCGATAGTCGAAAGCTTCGATTCAACTGAGCTCTCACAAAGTGATATGGGCTGACAGGACCCAGTAACTCAGGAGCCGAAGTAAGGTAGCGGTCATCAGCACCACGGAATCCGAAAATGGCTTGTCGCTCATCACCTAATACAACGAGACGAGCAGATTGACCCTCCGCCTTTTGATTGTTGGCGAGGATGAAGCAGTTAGTAAGCCAGAAGAGAAGTTTGGTACAATCCTGGAACTCGTCCAGTACGATAATGTCAAAGGGCTCGGAATCCCACCGAGGAAGCTCATTGCGATCAAGGACTCGTTTTTTCTGCTGCGCTAAAGTAAGGTCGTTGGGGATAGGGGTCCCAAAAAGTAAGCCGGCCATGGCGTGAAAAGTCAAGACTTTGCAGTTGGAGTAGGTGCGAAGCCGTCGATGGGTCTCCAGCTGGAGTCTCTTTGAGTAAGTGAGCACAGCTACTCGCTTGTCTGGGTGGGCGGCCACAATAGCCTCAGCCGTGGCCGTCTTGCCGGAGCCTGGCCGAGCCGACACGACAACATTCTTGGTGCCGCAGAGTTCTGCGATATCTTGCTGCTCCTTGGACGGGGTAAATGAACCGCTCTTTTTCTGCCGTTTAAGCAAGTTGTGCGTGTTTGTAAAGAAGCGAACGGAACCACCGAAGCTGACGGCTTGAAACTAGTGTCTTATTAGTGCTGTGCATCTTTTACATGGCTCAATTCAACACCTACCAGAGGCTTAAAATTACGTGAGGTTAGCCGTTGGCGAAGCATCTTTGCTTTAATTCGAAATTATGGGGGGCGAGAGGGCAACAGGAAGGGAGTCTATTCTGTGTTGTGTTGTGTGTGTTTTAAGAATAAAGGTGGTGTGGAGCTGTCTGGAAGAACATGAAGGAAGGTGGAGCTTGGGCCACCTACTGCCACAGAAATCCTGTAGATCATGACTGATCATAATAGTAGGCATAGAAATGACAGCAAGACAATCAGGTCTAGATAAACACTTTCAGGCTCGGCCGGCGTTTGTTGAGGCCCACCGCCACGTATTTCGCCGTCATGCACGTCCTTCCCAATCTGGCATAGCTCATTGTCTGTTATTTAACAAGAAAACGAAAACGGGGATTGTCTGGGTTGCCCGCAGACTACCCGCCATGTCCTTTTCCTGCCATTAAATGAAGCAAGTATAATACCGGGCGGTTGCAGACTTGGATACCAAAGGAGGCAATGCTAGCTATGCAAGTTCCTGCTGCTGCAGAAAGCGGTTTAGACATGATGCGTATGTGAAGTTCTCTCGCCAGAAACTGAACCACAATACCCGGCCACTCATCACAACATATTAAGATCAGTATCCTCAAATCAAAGCTCCGCCGAAATTTCTGTGATGGTGATAGAAGAAAAACTGATTCCACACAAGTTCCAAGCCCCACAAAATCAGGGAAATAAAAATTGCAACAAATTCCCCTCCAACCCTCGACCTTCACTCTTGATGCATTTTTCTTGACCCCAAAACATCATCTGATAGCCAGGTTCCAGTCAGCCCGGCTAGCTCAATCGGTAGAGCGTGAGACTCTTAACAGAAGGATTCTCCCGTCCAATCTCAAGGTTGTGGGTTCGACCCCCACGTCGGGCTCAATTCCCGTCTTCGAACTGGCTATTATTTTTCTCTCTTTTTTTTCTCTCTGCTTTTTACATTCAAACATGAAGGTTCCACTCTGTTGTCGCTGTCAGGAATACTGATGTTGATTATGATGATAATGTTGCTTCAACCTGTTGCTAGGTACATGACACATCCATGTCCGTAGACATCATCAATATCTGTCTCTTTGATCAACGGCAGTGAACCATGATTCGCGCCGCACATCCTACCAGTCGAATCACTCGAAGTGATTCCTTTCGAGAGCGAGAATAGAATCGGAGGGACGTTTGTGGCCACGACCTACGAGAACACCCAGGTCAAAGGTGACATCTCACCCGCCTACTGGACCTGCAACGCTGACAATGGTGAATTCAGCCTCGTCAGCTAATCAGTTACTTCCTCTCAGCGAACGGCTGTCGCTCGATTATAATCTCGTTACAACCACTCTGTCAAGCCGCAGGCATACACCCCCCAATGACTTATTAGAAGCACGAAACTTGAAGGCCACGAGGATGAGTTGTCACAATCCACAGCCGTCAGATGCCGACACATCCAGGCTCTCGACCGACTCATGATGGCGGTAGGAGGCTGTGCTTGGGAAGATTTTACTCTCGAACTCCTCCTTGGTGAGGTAAATGAGGTGCAAGATGGATAGAGCATTCTTAACCTTGAAGTTTCTAGGAAGGTTGTCAGGGATGTGGTCAGCGAATCTTGACCTAGAGACTATATCAGGGTTTGGCTAGCCACACACCACAGGTTAACCGAGAGGAGGTCAGATGGAATTCGGTCTTTTTCCTTCCTCGATTGCAGGCTCTCCAAAGAAAACAAGATGATTGTTTGTTGTATAACTTAGAGCGTTATCGGGCATAACCGGAAAAAAAAAATAACCCGAATAATTATTATACTATTATACACACTTTATGCATGGCTCGATTGATAACGCACGACTCGGTCGCAGGCGCCACGACAACGCCCACAACCAAGATCTCGCGACACCTTCAACTGTCGCCAGAAGATGATTGTTTACCCCTTTGGTGAAATTGGGCAGCCACATGCAGTGTGACCCGACGGCCTGGGCTTGATCGCCAGTCATGATTGGCGCCCTGAACATCAACATGTTTTGCATAGCCAGAACCACGGAATATTCACAGTTAAAGTAAAGTTGCCGCTGGCGGCCTCGACGCCGGACGATGCTCAATGAAGCAAGGTCTGCCCAGTCCAGAACACGTTCTATTGGCAATAGCGCCCTGACACCCCTCAGCTAGGTGGGGCTAGACTGGTCGATTTGTAGCTGAATGTCTCAATCCAGCTGAGCAGTCCGACATGGGTTTTTTTTGGGTTTTTTTGTTTGTTTCAAGTAGAGCTTATCTAGAGAGAGAGGGAATATGAAGAGTATAAATATGACGAGGTGGATTCCACAATACGTCCAAAATGTATTGACTTAATCCATCTTCCGTGAACCACTTTATTCTACAAGTTGCGCCCTTTATCACGATGGACACCACATCCATCGCCGAGTGCAATGTGTGCACCTCAAACAATGGCCAAGTCAACATCAAAAAGCGTCTTATCGTGTGTTGTGACGGCACTTTCAGCGGCGTCGACAAGGGAACCGAGGACTACGCCAGCAATGTCGGCCGTTTGAGTCGCGCCATCTCCCGAGTTGGCATCACCAAGACTGGCGAGAAGATCCCCCAGATTGTATACTATCAATCCGGCGTCGGTACCGGGTCCTTGACTTATGTCGACAAGCAGCGCCAAGGTGCGTTCGGCGGCAGCTTGGCGGAAAATGTGTGCGAGGCCTACAATTTCCTCGCCTCCAACTGGGGACCCGGCGACGAGATCTTCATTTTCGGCTTCTCCCGCGGCGCTTACACTGCGCGGTCTCTGGCTGGCTTTATCTGCCAGGTCGGTCTACTCACACCGGTCATGATGGATCACTTCTTCGAAATCTACGAGGCGTACAGGAACAGAGGCGACAAGCACTTCACCGAGACAGAGTGGGCCAACAGGGTAATGGTCGCTGGCGAACTTGGCTCGGTCCCAGTCAACAACCCAAATTACAAGCCGACAAGACTTGACCATCTCCGGGAGAACACCCATCTTCATGTCACCATCAAAGTCGTGGGAGTATGGGATACCGTGGGCAGTCTCCAGGTGACGAACTGGTTCGGCCAAGCCGGCGACGACACGACGTACCACACCACCAAGCTTAGTCCGAGTGAGTCCTGCAAATCTCAATTTCCAATCAAAAGGTCTATCCTAACTGTAATCCCGCAGAGATCGAAAATGCCTTCCACGCCCTGGCCATCGACGAGACCCGTGGCAACTTCCCACCCACCCTGTGGTACCTCGACCACAACTGCCTCAACGAAGACGGCACGCCAAAGGTGAACCTCAAGCAGGTCTGGTTCCCTGGCTACCACTCAGACGTCGGCGGGCACAGCAAGGGGTCGATCGACACCAACAGCGTCGACGAAATCACCTTTGGCTGGATGTGCGACCAGGTCCACGGAATGCTCCAGTTCAGCATCGAGGTCATGATGCGGTACATCCTCTTCCGCATCGGCGACACCGAGTGGGACGTCAAGGACAAGAAGGACATCCGCAACCTCGAGGCCAGGTGGCGCCAGATCCAGTGGAGCAACGGCACGCTCGAGGACAACAACGGCTGGCTCAACGGCTGGTGGATCCCCTCGCTCGTGTCGACGGCCAAGGCTGCGTATTACCGTGTCCCTGGTGAGACCAAGGCCTTCGACCACTGGGACGGGGCAAAGATTGCCATTGATTTCCAGCGTTTCAACGAGGAAGTCCATCCTAGTGTTTACCAGCGGGTTGTGGATACAAAGAACCAGGGCAAGAGAGCGTACACGCCGACTCCGTTCCGCAAGGGGTGGGTGTACGTGGCGCCGACCGAGACCGAGCGCGGTCATTGGAAGAAGGAGGTTAATGGGAGGGAGATCGTCTTGTACGAGTATACTATTCCCAGGCCGGAGCCTACGCCTGAGCAGCTGAATTCTGGGCTTCAGCATTGGAATTACGGCCTCGATCGGTTGATGGCGCCCCAGCAGGTTCTAGATGCACAGGCGCCTTTTGTGTCCAACTCAAGTCCATGAAAGGGATGGGCGGACGTGGACGAGATTTGGATTGGCACGGGAATTAAAATAGTGGTATTGCGGTTTATTTGTAGTTCACCTACGTTTACAGTGGGTTCCCTAATGGGTCAGATGCATTGTATAAACCAACTTTCAATGAGTAAAATACGGACCAAAGTACCCTCCCGTAACTATCATTCATCTGATATTAGTGCCCTGGCCAGCAGGGCCTCTTTACAATAATGCCATACCTTTTTCAAAGAATCGTACATGCTACTCCATTTCCTTCCGAGAAGCTACCGTCATTGGGGTACCTGATTCTGGTGAGGAAGTTAGGGTTGAGTTTGAGTCGGATGGATTTGCGTCCAAGACGGAGATTGTTATTAGGAAGAAGGATTGTGAGAGGAGGAAACGGCTTAATGAGGAGGTACAGAGGCGTGCAAAGTTCTCCTAGGGGAAACATTTCGACCCTCCGCTTTCAGCAGAGAGTGCACAGGCTGTGGCAAGAGCATTGGGAAGGGGCTCGGATTTCTTTGTAAAACTTGCTGGGATGTGGACCTGTGTCTAGGCTGTCGTCAAACCTGGATGTAAAGGCTGCAGAGCTTTGTATTGGATAGATACCTTACTAGTAGAGTTCCTCTGTTTTAGGGCAGCGTTACAGGTAATCGGTAGGGATTATTCTAGATAGGAGGGCAGGTGGGCTCGAATTTCTCAAAGACTCGCGCAACATCGCCAGGAATTGAACATAGCCTTCAGCATGGTACTGAACACTCTACAGGCCTTCTAACATTCTGTTCTCTGTTGCAAGGTGGATAATAATGTTAGTAGCCTAACATTATTACGACAGAATGTTCCAAGTGGGCAGTTCCCGGCATGGTACTAACCGTCCGGAAATCGGGCTACACTAGCTTGCCTATCAAAACTTGGCCTTAAAAAATCGAATCAATTTTGAACACAAAAACATGATATGTGATGAATAGGATAAAATTGGTGTAACACATCAGCTTCCTTCCTCTATCGGCAATATTAGTGCCTATCTCATTTCAATATGCACGTCGTCAGATGATTTTACGTACCCGACAATCACATCTCCCTAGCTCTGCAGCTTCCCGTCTTTCCCCTCCCTCGGACCCTCCCCCGTTGTTCCCCCCCGCGATCTCTCGAGAGTTGGATAAGGTACGTACCAGGCATGTTTGGGCGCCGAATAGCCTCTTCTTATCCCACTTAGTGTCCGATGTTGAAAAAATACAGCAGTAGGGAGAGGTAGGGAAAAAAAGAAATAGCTAATTTGCCCAGCTAATTCACACTCCTTCAGGAACGAGATCTACGACTCCCTTTCGACCTGCATCTCTGTTTGATCATGACTAAAAATTCTCAAGTAGCAGACTAGAGGAGGAGGAAGCAATTCTAAAAGTGTGATTGACGTCGACGGGAATTGGGAGGGACGGAAAGGCGGAAGGTACCGGCTTGCACCTGCCAGGTGGGAATCCTCACCTGTCAAGTCAGCCCAGGCACCAAATCAAGCAGGTTGAAATAACTCCAACTTGAACAATTCTCCACTGACAAAACTCCCAAATCACATCACACTGAATTTGACCATGTTGTCAGCTATTCCCCCGCAAAAGTGTTCGGATTCGGATAGCGGTAGTGAGATGGATCAAGCCACTTATCGCATGCCCCCGCTACCCGCCGCTCTCCCGCGCCGTCTCCCTGACGCCATTTTGGCCATTTTGGCCAATTCGGCCGTTTCGTGATTTCTTAAACGTTTGGTATTGAAATGGTCTGATAGCAGCCAAGACAATCGACATTATCTTGACATCAGAGTCGGAAGGTGTCACAGGCTTCAAAATGTCAAGTCTCGCTCGTACTTTCCGGATTCTGCGAGCCTCCCGTCCGTTT